GTTCCCACACTCCGTTCCAGCGGCCCAGGGTTTCAACAGTTTGGATCCTGGGCACAGACATGGCACCACTCATCAGGCCATGTTGAGGTGGCATCCCACATGCCACAACTAGAAGGACCCACAACTAAAATGTACAACTATGTGCTGGGGGCACTTGGGGAGAAAAAGCAAAAAAAAAAAAAAAAACAGAAGAAGAAGATTGGCAACAGTTGTTAGCTCAGGTGCCAATCTTTAAAAAATTTTAAAAATTAAAAAAAAAAAAAAATCCCACAAGTTGAGGATGATCATAGCCAAACATAGATGTTGGGAAATATGTAACAATAGGATGTCAGAAATAAAAAATTTTGCAAACAACTTGGAATATATGTAGTTGACAAATGAAATGTCAATATGTAGATACAACATATATAAGTGAAAAAAAGCTAGTTACATAATGGTGTATATATCATGATTACATTTTTGCTTTATAATTCTGTATAGCTAGAAAAATTACAGGTCCACAAAATCTTCTCAGAAATTATAGAGAACAGATTGTTGGAATTCAGAATGGGAAATGATAAAGTGATAATAGGTGCTTGTCCAGAAAGAGTGTAACCCTGCCTGCGGGGTCTAGAATCCTGTCCAGTAATCACCCTTTCTTATGAATATTCATGCTGATCAGGTATAGAGCACACTCTAGCCTCACCTGAGTCCACATCAGATTTTGCTTCTGACTGAGCTCTGCAGCAAAATGTACATACACAAGAGTATGTTTGCAGAAAATTTGGATTTTAGAATAACTCAAAATAACTGTAGAATTTTACTGCAAATTCTACCAGCGATTACTGGCAAGCAGGTTAATACAGATCTATCACTCTCTCCATGAATTCAAGGGATTATTTTTTTTATTGTCCAGAAGAAATTACTTTGAAATACTAATGGGCAATGTCGAGGGTGAAACAACGAAGTAATTAAATTCAGGGATGACATTTATTTCCTATGCTTACTGATTTCCTTTCTTATATACACAAAGGACAAAGGAGAAAACTACAGTATTTAAATAGAGGCTTATCAGCGTCTACGACACACATTCACAGTTCCCTGGTTATAAAGTGTATGTTTCACAAGCTAGCCCTTCCTGGGAAAACTCCCTTTGAGTCTGAAAATGTAAAATATCACTCTATGGTCCACCAGATCATGAAAATAGTATGTTTGCAATTCGCTCCAGACAGGCCACGATTTTTTTTTTTTTAAGATTTTATTTTTTTTCCTTTTTCTCCCCAAAGCCCCCTGGTACATAGTTGTATATTCTTCGTTGTGGGTCCTTCTAGTTGTGGCATGTGGGACGCTGCCTCAGCGTGGTCTGATGAGCAGTGCCATGTCCGCGCCCAGGATTCGAACCAACGAAACACTGGGTTGCCTGCAGCAGAGCGCGCGAACTTAACCACTCGGCCACGGGGCCAGCCCCCAGGCCACGATTTTTATAACAGCTGAGCCACAACATCCGCGTCTGCAGCGATGGCACATAAAATGCTGGCAAGAAAAGGAGGGAAAAGTTGGGTCGGGTGTGGTGTCAGAAACTAGAGAGGTCAGAAGGGATTATAGGAATTAGCTCCCAGGGAAGATAGTCCAAACTTTGAAACCGCTGAGCTCAATAACTGAGTTTTTTCTGTCCCAGAGACATGGCAGTAGGAGAACGAGTGTAAGAAGGATTGCACTTAACATTTACTGAGCATTTATACTTTCCTGGACATTCTTCTGACTCAATGCCCCATACCAGCCCCGGAAACGATGTCTCCTCTAGGTCAACTTCCGTTTTCATTAGAGAGTTAAGGCGCCTTGGAAAGTCACCAAGAAACTCTGAGAACTAGCAGTGAGCAACCTAGAAACATCAGCGTTGAGGAAAGAAAGGTGCTGCCACCCAGAAAACCCCCACACGGTGCAAATCCGCGTTGTGACAGAAAAACCCAGGCCCAGCGCTACTAGAGAAAATGCTGACAATGTCACATCTGTGCAAATCATGGTGCTGCGAGCCTGAAAAGGCCGGCCAGGGAAGCGGGCGATGCTAACAATAAGAAGATGACATCACAGATGGCCTGAGGGCCCTGCGAGCGAGAAACGTTCTCTGACACCAGCAGCGGTGCCAGCACCAAGAAACGGCGGCCTCGCCGCTGCTGGCGAAAGTGCTGACGAGAAATCGCAGGCGGGGCGCAAGGAGCGATGACGCCCAGGACAAACCACTGATCCGCTTACTAGCGGGTTGAGCCGGGGCTGCGCTGCTCCGCTCCTCCGCTCCCGGACGCACGCCGGTCCCACGGCATGCATCCCGTGCGGACGCCGCACACGGGAACCTCAGTAGAAAAACTAGTAGAACGTAAATTAAGATAAATTAAACAACAAATTCTAAAATGCAAGTACACCCCAAAAGAAAACAAACCAAACATATCGATCCCAGAACAAAATACAGTGAAAGAAACTTAAAATGTAAACCATTCAGAGAAAGCAGCTCTACAAAGAAGAAACAGTGAACACCGTTGAACAGCGGGGTCCCAGGATTTTCCCGGTCACGCCTCAAGCAGCGCCTGTCGCTACCCTAAATCGGGACTTCTAGGACTAAGAAATGACGGTCACCGCTAAACCGCTGTTTGCTGCTACGCCTGAAATCGCACACACCGGACACCTGGACTTGTAGGCGAGTGAAAACAGAAGCACAGCTAAAGGGGAACTTGCATAATGGAAAGCGGCTCCACCCAGCAGCCTTGGTGGCAGCCACAGACTGAGGGGAGCGGGGAGGCCAGCTCCAGCCCGCCGCCAGCTCGGCTCCAGGAGACGGTACGTCCGAGAAAACGCCGGCCAGGTGCTTATCGCCGCAACAGTCAAAACGGCAACGACACGAAGGGGCTGAGAGTTGAGCGGTGCTCACACCGAGAGAGATCGCATTTCCAGGAGTTAAAATAAAATAAATTGTAGACCAGGCTTGAATATCCTCCTAGCCGGCAAAACCACTTAAGCCACGTCAGCAAAACTAAATTAGGTCATTTCAAAATGTAAGGGAAACCTAACAGCTTATTTCTCATAAATGATTTCCGTATTCTTTGAAAATCAAAGAAACAAATCATCTTCCTAAAATGGTATAAGATAATCACGTTTAAACCATTCCCCTGCCGTCTGGAAATCCCCTCGTAATAACCAATCATTGTAAAGATTAAACAACTTCCTCTTCCACTTTATAAACCGTTCTGGACTGTCAAGCCTCTGAGCTTCATACTAGTTTTCGGACTGAAGTCTCCCTCAGTGGGAACAGTTGGTTTCTCGCTCAATAAAATATTCCTATCAAGCAAAGCTCTCTGAATTTTCTCTGAGTAGTTATTGTCGTCAGAAGTGGGATGGAAGGAAGAGCCCTGATGAAGCCCGGAGGCTGGTGAGTAACTGGCGCCTGGTGAGGTCCAGGGTAAATCTGGAATCTGAGCTCCACGCCCTTTGTGTTGAGCTCTCTGATTGTGTCGAGCCACCTTTGCTGAAGCTTCTTGGTAACTCACGCTATTGTGTTCAAAATGAGGAGGGGGCAGGGGACTTGTGATTCCCTGTGTTGTGGAACAGCTGGTGAAAAACAGGGTTCCTCCGAGTTTAAGTTCCACCTGGTGCACAATGGGAACCAGAATCATGTGCCTTTGGGGAAAACGGGTGAACTTTTCGATAATTTGGAATTGTAGTGGCCTCTTTGGGCAACCTTTAATTTATATGAGACAGTTCACCTTAGGGGTGTCCTTAAAAAGAGAGTACCCCAGGCAATAGAACGGGAGACAACAGAATGCATTCTTTGATTGGTGTGCAGAAGCTTCTAAAAGACAAAGTGACTCCTGAAATAGCTTCTCTAAAAGAATCCTGATGGTGCACAAATAAAAACATTCTATAGGGCCAGCCTGTGGCCCAGGGTTTAGCTGGTTGGGATCCTGGGCACAGATCTAGCACCACTCATCAAGCCATGCTGAGGCAGCATCCCACATAGCAGAAATAGAAGGACCTATAACTAGAGTATAAAACTATGTACTGGGGGGCTTTTGGGAGAAGAAGAATAAGAAAAATAAAGATTGGTTCAGGTGCCAATCATAAAAAAAAAAAAATAGTGGAAAGCTTCATCCATCACAGCAGGTAAGCTTAACTTGTTTCATCTCCTAGAAACACAGTTTGGATACAGCTATTCCTTTGAGTTTTGCATTATTGTACCTGACACAAGGCTAAAATTTTTAAATGAGAGCTGTAATATCTCTGTTTGTGTCTGTCTGTATCATGGTGTATATTTATCCATATATGTTATGTATATGTGATATTTTTAAAGAGTTCTATTTAATTTCTTAAAGAAAAACAAATGCTTATTTAAGTATGTTCTAAACCTCAGAAATACACCAAATAACCCGAGTGTTTCTAAAGTTCACATGATAGTGGATGATCTTTGATAAGTAGAAGTTAATTTAAGTTTTTTGGTTTAATTAAAACAGATATGTCTTCAGAGTTGTCAACATTAAGTGTAATGGAAACATACAATTTGTCTACCTCCATTAGTTACTAGTCAAATAAGCTTCATGCTATCTCTAGCTTACAAAATCTGTCAGCAAAAAAAAAATAACATGAAGATTAGCTGTTTAATGTATAACCGTTAGTATGCATTAAATTAAACACAAGTAATTTATATGGATACAAATAAGATAAAGTTTATACTAAGTTAAACTGAATGATGTTCATTGAATTAAATTAATAGTATTCATTGAATATAATATCTAGATCATTTCCAAATAATCTAAAATACTGCAGCATTACTTGCTAAACGTAAGTTTACCTTGGTCTACTTTCATCTTCTTAATTTTTTACAGGGAGACGAAAGATATTTGGGTCTACTAGGAAACATGTCTTTTTCCACACTGAAACAATTATACAATGAAAGGCATATGTCTCTAAAAATTGTAAATTTTTATAATTTGTATCCATAAATTTGCTAGTTTTCACTGGGAAGGAAAGTTTACTATTAGTTAACATTTATAATCCATATGTAAAAATAAAACTACTAGAAGCAATAAGAAGGAAGGGAAACCACTTTATATACAAAGTATGGAATGAAAATGGGATATGTTTTTATCTGTAGGGCATTGTATAGTATGTGTTTTAGTCAAGGAGAAAAGAGAATAATTTTGTCCGAAAATAAAGTGGTTGTTCCAGAAAAAGAAATGGGAAAAGACAGACAAAACATAAATGGATATACAAATTGCAGAAGGTTTGCGGCGGGCCGGGGACGGGGGGTGATAAAAGCAGTGCTGGGACGCGGAAGCGCAGAGCTGGCACAGAGCGCAGGACCACATCTCCAGGACGGTGCGGTCCAGATCGCGCTGCCGCGAGCGCTGCTGTCTCTGAAACACCTGTGTTTTGGCAAAGATAGCGGGGCAACTGGCTATTTTCGCGAAAATTTCCGGGGTGAGACGGGAAATCACCCGGATCGAGGAAAGAAAGGAGAGGTGCGGGCACAGAAACACACCTCGGGCCCGACCGAAAGCCGCCCGCTCCTTCCACTAGCGATCTGAGGACCCGCCGTCCCTGCTCGTATCGCAGCCGCGGCCGAGGAGACGCTGACAGCGAGGACCTCGCGTTGCTGGGTCCCAGTGATGCGGGCAAGGAGCACAGAGCGTGCCGGCCCGAGAAACAGCCGGCTCAGGGAAACAGCCGGTTTGGAGGAATGAATGGTGTTTCCAAGGTAAAGGCCACCAACTGGATGCAAATATGTTCTGTGACAGGAATACCGCTACCTCTGCAAACAAGCGAAGGTGCTAAGGGGGACAGGGGCTCGGTGCCAGCCGCAGTGCCGGGACTGTGAGAACAGTCGGGGGAAACCAGCGGTGCTGGGATCCAGTTAGCAAGATTTTTGTCACTGAGAGCTTTGACAAGACCTGCACCACTAAGGAACCTGATGCAAAACCAGCGATATCAGTGCAGCTAAGCGCTGCTGCCACGGAAAATGACTGACGCAGAGCACGTAGCGGCGATCGCAGAGAGAAACCACCAAACCCAAGCGGGAACAAGAAGAATCGGGTTCAACAAAAGGATGGACACCTGTTTCGAAACACTTGCGAAGAGACAGGAAAACCGCACGCACGGAGCCCCAGTCAGACATGCAACCCACAAAACGCTGTCCCTAAGCACTGAAGAGTACTGGGATGGAGCAGGCTCCCACAAGAAGCAACTGGCGGTGCTGCAGGGAGAAACATCCGGCTCGGCAAAGTAGAATCAAAACTTGACAAGGAACACTAAAGGGACATCTTAACGCATTTTTATTCTGTAAGTGGATGGGTTTTGTAACCCTGAATCTTTTCCTGGGGAAAGTTCCAAAAAGGCTGTCTCTGTGTCTCAGGGCTCCTCAGCGCCAAAGATGGTCTGGCAGCAGCCGCAGCTCAGGATGTACACTGCGCGACCAATCCACTCCAAGCAGCCCAAGAAAAGCCGGTGGTGACTCCACCCAGAGGGGACCTGAGGTCAGCTGCGATCTGAAAGGTCCCTTCTGTCAGAGGTCTTGGCGTCCTGCTGTCTGTCGGCGCCGTCTGACGGCCGGGCGCAGGTACGCTGGTGGAACGCGAGTCCGTCCGGTTCCTCTGCAGGGTCCAAATCTCCCACCATCGCCTCTGGCTTGTTCCGCGTCTCCAGCCAGAAGCCCGGAGTGGGCGGGGCTGGGCTTGGTTCCAAGGTGCCCGGGGCTCTAGGCAAGAGCAAGTTTTGGCTGTAAACCAAACGCAGCCGCCAGCAAGGACTAGAAAGCAGCTCCCCCTGGACATCACCGCCGTGGCATGAGGACTCTTCTAGTATGGGGTCCAGTATGTGGTAGAAAGGGAGCCGCCACGGCCCAGAATCTTGAGAGCTCGGTATAGACGGAGGCTGAGGCTCTGGCGCCGCCTCTGCGGAATCCCGAGCCTCCTTCCCCGCGCCGAGAAAATGCTGCTCCATCACATAGTGCTCGGACCAGGAGGACACAAGCGTTTGCTCTGGACCAGGAGGCAAAGCCTTCAGCAGCAGCGGCAACCCGGGTATTTATTATGCTCTCCAGGGCTCGTGGGCGGAGCAACGTGGAGTGGCAACAAATTCTAGAAATCAGTAGACAGAATGAAATACTGAAAAATTTCGGAGAGAATAGACAACCGACACAAGTCATTCCGATATAAAAACATATCGAGACGAAAGCAAACGCAATGAAACGGAACAAAAAGCAAACCGTGCAGAGAACCAACCCTACAAACCTCAGGGAGCGGTGAGCGGTGCACAGACCACGAAACCAAACGTGGCCTCGGAGAACAAAACGGCGCAGCCACTGGCCGCTGGGGCGCTGCGCTGGAGCGACGCTGCTGAAGAGAAACCCGAGACACCCGCGGCGCTGGCACGTGGCGATGCCGGCGGAGAGCAGACAGTGGTGCTGTTGACGAAAATCCCTCTGCTTTGGAGCGATGAGCTGTGCTGTCAAAGAGAAACTGCCGCCTCTGAGAACTGAGCAGTCACCGACTGAAAACCATCCGACTGGGTGGAAGCACCGATGCTGCCACGGAGCAAATACGATCGCCTTCTACAATAAAAAGCGCAGTACAACGCTACGAAGGGAATGCTAATTATTATTTTTTGCAAAAAATAAAGTTAAAAAATTAAAACACTAAAAATAACAAAAGTAAAAATAATTTAAAAACAACTGAAACAATAAACAACAAAATTAAATACAAACTGATATATTCTATAATTTAATTTATAAAACATTTTATTATTAATTTCTTAATTTAAAGCTTGTAACTTATTTTAGTTACGGTTGCTTGTATTATTTTATTTTGTGTTTATTTGTTTAACTTTATTTTTTGATTTTCTGTTATATTTTAATTCTAAATGAAAAAATTAATTTTTTGAAAACTAAAATTTTAAATGTTTTTTAGTTTTGTTTTATTTTACTTACTTTGTTCATTTTATTTATGCAAAATTTTTAATGATGTTATTTTATTTTTAATTTTTTAATTTAAGAGATATTTCTTTTATGAGTTTCTTTTTATTTTACTTTACTATTTACATTTTTTGTACTTAAAATTTTTCTAAATTATAATTTTTTTCTCATATTTAATTTATTTTTCAACTTAAAACATTCAATTTAAATTTTTAACTAAATGTATTTAATTTCATTTTTAAAATTTTTTGTCTTTTTACTATTTTCTCTTAAACTTAAAATATTGTTTTTTAAAATTTTTTATTTTATTTAATATTCTTTATTTTTAATATTTTTATTTCATTTAATTTTAAAATTTTTTAAATAAAAAATTTCTGAATCTTAATATTTCTTATGCGATTTTTACTTTTATTTCTATTATTTTTAAGTTTTAAATTTTCTTTTATTGTAATTTATATTTAGTTTATTTTTCATTTATTTGATTTCTCATTTTATCTTTTGCTTTTATTTTAAATAAAGACATAAAATTAAATGTTTAAATTTTTCAATTTTATTTATTTGTTTGTTTATTTAAAGATTCACACCTGAGCTAACAACTGTTACCAATCTTCTTTTTTTTTTCTGCTTTTTCTCCCCAAAACCCCCAAGTACACAGTTGTATATTTTAGTTGTGGGTCCTTCTAGTTGTGGTACGTGGGACGCTGCCTCAACGCGGCCTGGCAAGTGGTGCCATGTCCGCGCCCAGGATCCCAAGGGCCAAACCCTGGGCCAACAAAGCAGAGCGTGCAAACTTAACCACTCAGCCACGGGGCCGGCCCTAAATTTTATTTATTTTTTATATGTCATTATTTTATTTTACTTTTAAATGCTTTCTTGTATCTGTCCAATATTTATCTTTCTTATTTTATTTTTTAAACTATATAAAATTTTAACTTTACCTTTGAAATGAAATAAAATTATATTTTTATTTTATTTTACTTAATTTTAATTAGATATTTAATTTTTAAGTTTCTGTTTAGAAATATAATATCCAAATTATATTATGTTTTAAACAATTTATGGTGAATTAAATATTTTGTTAATTTTTATTTAACATTATTTTCAGTTTTGTCATTTATTAAATTACTTTTACTTACTTAACCTATTCTAAAAGGTTTTAAATTTTATTTTACTTTTTAATTTTATCCTAAAATTCATTTTATTATTGAATAAAATTTATTTTACTTTCTAAATTTTAATGGTTTTAATTTTTACATATTTTAGATTCAAATTTTTTATTTTATTTTATCTTATTGTTAATTTATTTAATTTTTACATATTTTAGATTCAAATTTTTTATTTTATTTTATCTTATTGTTAATTTATTTGATTTTCAATTTTATTTTATGTCTATATTGTTTTATGTTTAATTTTTATTAATAAAAGGAAAATAAAAATTAAAAATTAAATTATAAAAAATTAAAGTAAAATTAAGAAATAAAATAAGAAAACAGTAAAAATGAAAATAAAATACAAATTTTTTCATTTAAAAATTAAAAAGAAATATAAAAACAATTTTAAAAATAAGAAATAAAGAGGGCCAGCCCCATGGCTGAGTGGTTGGGTTCACCCTTGGCTTTGCAGCCCAGTGCTTCACTGGATAGGATCCTGGGCATGGACCTAGCACCACTCATCAAGTCATTCTGAGGCGATGTCCCACAGCACAACTAGAGGGGCTTACAACTAGAATATACAACTATGTACTGGGGGGCTTTCCGGAGAAGAAGAAAAAAAAGAAGATTGGCAACAGATGTTAGCTCAGGTGCCAATCTTAAAAACAAAGAGAAAGAAGAAACAAAGTTAAAATAAACTATAATTATAAAAACTTTTAAAAATCAAAACTATTTTTAAAATTTACAACCTAAAATAATATTTAAAAATTAATATTTAAAAATAAAAAGGAAGCTAAAATAAAATAGACCAGGCTTAAAAAGAAACCCAAGCTGGTAAAATCACTTAAGCCCCTACATAAACAAACCTTAGGTTATTTTTCTGCAAATGCCTCTGATAATCGTGAAAGAAATAGATCACCTTCCTGAAATGGTATAAGGTAATCACTTTTAAGCAAACCATGGCCTCTGGAAACCCCCATTGTAATTACCAATCCTTGCAAAGTTTAAACAGCTAGCTCATTTTCACCTTATTAGCCCTCCTGCAACTTCATGCTTTTAACTTCATACTAGAGTTATCTTTGAAGTCTCCCAGTTCAATAAGAATTGTTTCTTCTTGAAGGAAAGCTTTGTATCAAGTAAAGCTCTCCATACTTTCTTTTAACAGAGAATGAACTGAAAGATTCACGCTGTGCAAAGGTGTTGTGTCGGAAAAAGCACCATGTAACTCTACTATGGGAATTGCAAACAGGTACTGGAGGGAGCTCACTGCAGATCACAGTACCATGACCTTCAAAGGGCAGTCTAGGAGAGACTAGCTGTGGTAGGATTGAGAAAGCTATAACTCAGAGAACGGATGGGGCCTGCAAAGCGGAAACTGATTTTGGCGCTTGGGGAGGTGTGGCAATGGAGGAGCCCAGATAACTGTGTGAACCTCGGTGACAGCTGATTTCCATCAGAGAGGTTAGGGGCAGCTAGAATATGCTGTAGATGCAGCAGAAAGAAGCCACTGCGGTGAGAACCAGCAATGTGATCAGACTGCAGATGATCAATATCAGTCAACAAAGTGAGGATGACCTGATTGCAGACAAGGTCTGACCATTACATATATTTGGGATATCTTAAAATTTCTTTTTGTCTATAAAAGTTCCCCAACACTTTCATGTTTCCCTTTTATTTTTTGAAGAAAAGAGTATCTCAAGTACAATGTCCTGCCCATTTTTTAAAGTTTCATTCATATACAACTTTTCTGAGCATCAAGAATAGGAAAATTCCAGTCAACCTGTGTGCCAGCATGGAGCAAGTTCAATATTGGGCATGTGAAACAAAAAAATTTCTACCAGGTAGCTATTTTCTCAAGACTAGAAATGGGATGATTTCAAAAAGGGAAGGCAGAAAGAATATTTTATAGATTTCAGAAATGATCATTGAAACTGATATGAAATAAATGTGGATGGATTTTTGAATACAATAGGCTCCATTTCTTTATCCACCTATACCAAAAACAAGTTTTGTTCTACTGTTACGGAAAAGGGTGGCATGAAAGAACACAGGTTTGTGAGAAGAGTTAACAAGAACATGGGCAGGCAGGGACTGGGCGTGCCCTGGTGAGACCGTCAGAGACAGTCTTAGTGTGGGGCAAGTGTTCTCAGGGATCCTGCCTCTGGCTGTTAGAGAACAAGTTCCTCTTCTGTAGGGTTTGAGGATCCAGTTTGGAGGTGAGGAATACTTGCTGACTGACAGCTTTCTTATAGCTCATCACTTTGCTTTTGAGAAGTAGATCAGACAAAATGCAGGCTCTTTAAGGGGAAAAACCACAATGGTATCTCTCAGCCCAGTAGGACAGGTAGGTGACAGCTGTGGGAGGGTATGATGTCAGGGAGGGGTAGGATCTGGAGAGTCCAGGAAACCTGGTTACTGCACAGGCTCAGTAAATGATCTAATTCTAATTTGAACCCTTACTGTACCCTCTAAGTAGACTAACTCTAAAGAGGTTCCTTTTCTCTAAAGGATCACAGGGTACTCTCAGCAATGATAACTTTACTTCTAGCAACTTAAGCTAGAGTATAGTCCATGAATTGGATTGCCCTACTGCTTTAAATACAAGGTAGTGTCTTTGAAGAAAGTAAGAAAACAGTAATAACTGATAGTCAAGTTACTGAATCATGTACATAATATGATTTTTAAGAAGTCAATGGTATTAGTGTATTTGCATTTGCATTGGTGTGATTGCCTTTGCAGAAAAATATGAATATACTGCAAAATATCAATAGTGGTTATTTATCAGTTGGGAGGTTGGGAAAAAGAGGGTGTAAGTTCTATTTTCCCTTCATATTTTACTGTTCTGTTTAATTTAAAAAGAAATATTTGTTTTTTGATAAATATTTAGAGGCAATTTAAAAGAAATAGGGTTCTAATGTCTATTCACTTTGATATTTTAATAGCCAATATTTGTTCAAAATTTGCTATATGATAGGCACTGTGCAAAGAGTTTTATTTTTATTATCCATTATATTAGATGCTATTACTAAGTGCATTTTACAGGTAAGAAAATGTAGGGATGCAGAATTTAATTTGTTGGCCTGAGGGGCGGGTCAGCAAGTGTTTATCTGGGCCCTGTGGCTCCCCATTGGGAAATTCCACACCTCTGTGTGTTATACTCACCTGGGCACTGCCCACTGTCTGCAGCACAAGCATCCATACTCATGGTCCCACCAGGAGAGATATATTCAAAGAACACAGCTAATGATTGCCTGCACAATCTATTCACTTTACTTTTTTTCAGTAAAGGAAGATGAAAATGATGTACATGTCTTGTAAGATATTGAGAAAATAGTGTGGCTTCAAAAGAGTCTCTGTCCAGAACAAAATACAAAGAAATGAGCCTGTACCCTCCACTGCAGTATCAAATCTAGAGAAACAAGAGGTAAATAATATGTACATTGGTAAATGTAGAGCAGACTCTACGTGTCTGGAAGATGGATCCTGAGAACAGGAGCAGCTACAACCGAACAGTGAT